ACATCTTGAAATAAATATTTATCTAAATGTCCATAGTCGAGTATTAACGAGAGTGGGATATCGTTAATGCATGTGAGACTAGTGTGTGTTGGATGTTTGACTTAGTCTCATAGTCAATGACGGTGTGTTCGCATCCGCACATGGGCAGATATTATCTAGAGATAATAGGATGCCGGACTGACCCATCCTAAAGATCTTGCTTGAACTTTTAGTTCATGCTCTAAGCATCTTTAGCGCGACCACGGGTGTAACTATCCTTCGACTTGAAGTATTACGTTTTCTGCATACGTGAACCCGCATGCTTTGATGCATTGTCCTAAGCCATATGAAATAAGGATGGTATACAGGCTTTGTTTTGGGTATATCGCAGCGCATATTCAGAAACGTAGATTACGTACATAGGATTTGTCACTACTCTTTTTAAGAGATTAATGTCTTATGGGGCCCACTGATAAGTTATGATTGAGGAAATTGCATGGCCATGCTGAGATGTTTTTATGACGTCTCTTCCTATCAGTCAGACTTGATAAATCAGTGAATGACTTAATGGATACAAGCTGGATTTTATTAATCCCTTGCATTAAGTTTAGACATTGAGACAAAGGGATACAGTTACACGGAGTCTGAGTCGTGGAAAGGTTTTGACGGTGCAAACGTCTTAACTTATAATGTAACGACCCAAAAACCGGCTTAGTAGTTAGCCGTAATTTTAATAAAAAAATAAATATAATATTTATTTACTCTAAAATATGGATTATTGGTAAAGTTATCCGTTTTAAATGAAAATTGGGTTTTCGGATAGATCCCATAAAATGGTGACTAACGGTATATAATTTGTTAAATTTGGACTTACGTGTAGAACGTGGTGAGTAAAGTAGAAGTTACAGTTCAATAAATAAATATAAATATTTATAATTATAAAATAGTAATATAAACTATTATTCCTAAACCTACCCGCAACCCAAATCCCAAACTCATTCCAAATTAGAAAAGGACTCCCTATCCTATATATATACACGCACGCCACACAAAAAGAACGTAACAGACCCTATGCCGAAGAGAGAAAAGAGAAGGGAGCAGAGCTGCTGCCCGAACGCCGGGAAAAAGGTTGTCGCCGCCGCCACTCTAGCGTTGCTGCTCCGCCGTCACCGGGAAGCTGACCGACGTCGCTGCTTCGCCGTCACCGGAAAACAGCCCCGCCACTGTTCGCTTGGTCATTGGTTCAATTCGTCAATTTGTTTTAATTCGTCAATTAATCGAGGTCAGAACTTGCACATCTAACGCTAGATTATGTATATAGATTTGAAATTCACGTTCGTAGTTTCGTATGATTGATTACGTGGTTTATTTGTTTATAATTGAATTGTGATTTATTTATATCTTATGATAATATTGGAATTGATTGAACGAGGATGACCAGGTATGTTTTCTTACTTCGAATTTGTGTGATTTGCATGACGGTAAGTAGAAGGTGTTACACTTGACACTAGGCCGCTAATTGAGTTGTATGATTTATTGTCTGATTAATGATATATTTATTGTTATGATTAAATATAATCATGTTGGGTTATGGAAGTAAATAAGGAAGTGAGATTGTTGTTGGAATAAGCTTGAATTATAGAGATGTTGTAAATAAATGATTATGCTACCTAGGGGAACTCTAGGACTGCCTTAGTACAATTGTAAGTATAAATGTCAATAGATAGGAACAGCCCTGCGGATCTGATATCCGACGGCTGCGGGTTAAAACGTACGTACGGGATCCAAGAACTGTCGTTCCGAAGGGGACAGGGGTACCACCCACCCAGCGGAGAACTCCTTCGTTGGTCATCAGGTTGTGTTGTGTCATAAGGTGCTAAATAAGGTATACTGGAGTCATGGCCGTAGGTAGTGGCTCCAAGTCCGAACATAAGGTTGTAAATAAGGAAGTATGGTCTTAGCCTTGTAATTATGTTATGAGCTATGAATGAAGACAGATAGGGTAATGAATTGTTACTCGTGAATTTATTTAATGACTGTTATGTGGTATTATGTTGTATACTTGTGTGCATGATATTGTATGAGGTTATGAGTTAGTGGGTTTGTCTGTATGCGTAGTCGAAACGTTAGATAGTTCTCACTTAGCTTCAATGCTGAGCGTGTAGCCCTTTTTCCTATTTGCTACACGTAGGTAACATAAATGATGAATAAAGAACTATCCTGGAGGGCAGCGAGGGCAGAGAGATGGATGGATGCTGCCTGGAGGAGTTTATTATTTAATACTTAAGTTTGAATTAATTATGTTTTTAAGGGCAAGAACCCAACGTTGTATTTTGATTAAATACTTAAAGGCTTCCGCACCGTTTTACTTACTCCGATGAATATTTATAAATGTTGTTTTTGAATTAAATGTTTTAAATGTTCTGAAAATTATTGTGTCTGAATGCCAATCTAGTAGCAACCCGATCCGCTGGTCCTCGTATTCGGGTCACGCGGGTTGGGGTGTTACATATAATCTGGGGGCAATAATGTGTTGCTAGATACCGCTTATTGCTTATAGTATTGGTGCAGAGCCAATACTGTGGCCAGCTTTATAAGTGCCTATACGGGTCACACACTTTGAACAATTTAAAGAGTAGGATTAAACAACGGGATAATAAGTAATTTGTATATTTGTAAAATAGTAAAATAAAATATTTTGGAATATAATATTATATATATGTAAAACATTCGGTGATATATTTATATATATAAATACCGAAATATATATATATATTATATGTTGAATATTTTATTTTGATTTGTCATTTTAATTATGAAAATAATTATTTTGACATAAACTATTTAAAGTATATTTGTATACTTGTTTAAAATGATATTGGTATTTTTATTTGATTTAAAATTAATTTTATATTAATTTTTGGTGTCAAATAAAATACACTTTGAACATTTGAGTGGAGAAGAATTTCAAATATCCTTCTCATATCATCATTCGGCCATATGGATTTCAAGGTTGACAAATTGGTATTAACTTACTTGATTGATAAATTAGTGATTTGTAATTGATTTGTTAATTTGTCATTTTATGCATAATTAAATTCCATTATTATACCCACTTTCTCACTTGAATAAGATAGACCACATTCATCAATTTGGTCCAAGGGAATTTTCGGCCACTTCATTTTAGTGAGAGAAAATTTATTTTGTGTTCCATTAATATCTTTTTGTGTATAGAAAATATTTATAATATTTTCTAAATATTATTAGAAATATTTTCTATAGAAATATACAAGATTATTATTATCCCAATTTTAATCTTTATATTTTATACTACTATAATCTTTACTAGCATAAAGATTGTGGTAGACTCCGGCGTTGTTCGTGTGTCAAAGTACCTCTGGCCTGCGAACTTGCCAATGCATTGCACTTTCAACGCTCTTCCTACGACTTCTTCGTTTTTACCGCTTACGGAGAAAGGTACAAATTTCTTACTACTATAAGTTTTAGTACGTGATTCTGGGCAAGATAATCATGTTAGGATGTTAAAATTTTTATATTCCGCTGCCTATCCTTGCATGGTTACCTTTCAGTTATCACGTCAGATGGTAGCGTGCTACCGGCCTACCGGTACCCCAATACTGCCTAAGACCTTTTGGTATAGTCAGGACCTACGACTGTTAGGTACCTAGGTACCGGACGGATGGTAGGCCCTACCGTATCGACAGTACCCATTACCGTATCGATACCCTGGTACCGTGACAAGCACCATTTGGAGTTATTAAGTCGAGGATTTATTCCGAGACTTTGTATGATGTATGACGGTAAGCATGGGTGCTTACACCAGTGTTAGGCCAATGTTTGATTATGTTTGGATATTTTGATAAATGCATTGTGCATTTATGAATGTTGTATTATGTACTGATTAATGTAAGTTGGATATATCACCTAGAAAAACTCTAGGAAATGACCTGAATGGATTAGTGGAAATGTATGTCATAAGTGTAGTAAGTTAGAGCCATGTGGTACCTACTGGGTTCAATAGCTATTCGGTAAAGACGTGTGCACGTGGGGACAGGGGTCTCGCCCACCCAACAAGGAAGTCCCGAGTTGGTTTAGAGCTTGACCTTCGTTCCGAAGGGGAAGGTCATGGCTCCCGTAGAAAAAGTAATAAAGATAAGCCTTAACCTAGCATATGTTATGTGCCGAGTAAGTCTATAGAATCAGAGTTAGCATAAGCCTTAATCTAGCTTAGGTTATGAGGCCAGTAAATAGATCAAGTTAGGTGATCAAGTAACGAGAAGGTAATATTCTATGTTTGTTAATGTTGAACTTTGTTATATGATATTTTTGATGTTATGTATGATATGCTTGTGTGCATGATATAATGTGATAATTGTGAATTATAGGATTCGCCTATGTGTATGTTCGAACTGTTAGATATTTCTCATTCAGCTTCATTTCTGAGCGTGTAGCCTCCTTTTCCCCTTTGTTACACGTAGGTGGTTGTGAAAGGATTGACTTAGAATCCATCCCACAGAGCAGCATGACGGAGGAGATGTACGGATGCAAGAGCTTAAAACGATAAATATTTGGTTGAATTATAAAGCTTCCGCACTGTTTGTCTAAATCCCGACATGTATTTAAATGGTTTTAAATTAAATGTTTTAAATTCTTTGGAAAACGCAAAGCGCTCAGTCTGGAGAGGCTTCAGCTCGCACAAACGCAAAGCGCGGACGCGCTGAGTAGTTCGCACATGACGTAATCATGGTGATCAATGACTAGGTAAATTTCGAGGACGAAATTTTTTTTAAGGGGTGGATAATTGTAACGCCCTACAACCCGGTCTATTAGAATTGATTATTTTAAATAATTAATTACTGTTCCGGTCTAGAGTTGGGGAAAATAAAAAAAAGTTCTTAGAAAAATTATTTGAACACGTCATTAAATTTGTTTTGACTGTCTGATTCCAAAAACGTAAACGGTTTTCAATTTGGACCCATTCAGGGGAAAAAGCGCGTACCATTTAGGTCAGATTTTACACCACAGAGTAGAGTTTAGGGAGATAACTCCCCATTTAATTCCTTCAAGAAACTCACGCCACTACACCTTCCCTCACCATTCATTTTCCACATTTTAATTCACCATTAACACTCATTACTCCATCATCAATATATATCAACTCCCTCTTCATTTCCTTCACCTCCCTCACATTTTGGTAACTCCCACCCACATCATCTCCTTTCCTCCTTCCCTTTGTGCATTTTCGGCCAACCCACAACAGCTTAAGGAGGGATTCCGGGAGTAGGCGAGGAGGTGGAAGAGAAGGAAGTTCACGCGAGAAGCCGATCGTTCGTTCGTTCGTTGGTCCATTCGTTACCATCATCCGTTCATTTCGTTTCTGTTTCATCAACCCCATCATTTAGAGGTGAGTAGTTGTCCCTCTAATTCTAGAACATCAAGTCATA